GGTGATATAGCGGTGATATAGTCGGTGAGGTGTAGGGGGGAGGATAGGAATAATCGTCTAATGGGTTGACTGGTGATATTATCACCCAAAATGGGCAAGGGTTCTGCTAGATAAATCTGCATTCAACATACAGCTGCACAACATCGCATATGAACGGTTCAGATGATTAGACTAACGATGCATGGTGCGTGTTCGCACGCAGAACCTGAAATCAATTTATGAGAAAAGTGCTAAATCTATTGCTTGCACAACCTGAAACAATGCAAAGGAATAACGGCACAGGATGCGATCCTCAAAGGCCTCTCGAAGAGTGCCTTTACACCGAAAATTGCTCTGACATGAACACTTCAGGTCCCGTGATCCGTCCAGACGTTCAGACCACTGACGCGCCGACACCGAGCTTCTTTGGTGGAGGCTCTGCCAGCGGTCCCACTGCCCTGATGAACGATAACTCTGCACAACTCAGAGACGCACACGTCGCGGTAAGCTCTTCTCACGGCCGGCGAGACAGCCGAGTGTACCAGTACAAAGGCACAAGGAAATATCCACACGTTCCACTTTTGGTGCCACAGCGAACCGAGCCCGAAGCTTCAGAAAGAGAGAGCACAAAGAGCGCATGCAGGGGCGGCTTGGCTTTGTGGCTGCTTGCTCCAGATTGGCTTGAGCAACTCGGCTGCATTCCGGTCAGCGTGCAGAGTTTGAGCAGCCTGTCGAGACGGCGCACCGCAACTTAATAATTTAGAAGCAACACAGTGTTGCCGACCCATTCCTGAATCTGATTGAAGTCATGAAGCATGAGGAAGCCGTGAAATCTGCCACGGGCCTCTTGTCGGGCGATTTCGTGTACCACCTCCAGAACTCAACAGAGTGAGATGGCAGGAGCCCGAGCCGCCCAGCTGTCGAGATTTGACATCCCTCGGCAGCCTCGTTCCGCAGCTGTTGGAACGCTTTGTTCTCCGAATGCGCGTTATCCTTCCAGACTTCTGGCAACACCGTGGAAGCTACCCACGATTTCCAGACAAAATCCTGGATGCTCCTCCAAGACGCCCAGAGCATCGTGTAGCCTTCCCAACTTTCGAAGGCAGATGGCTCGCCTGTACATGGCCTGGCAACCACGGCGGCGGTCTGCAGCTTTTGCTGGCACGTGTTGGAGCTTCTGGCAACAGCCAGAAGGCAGCACAGGACTTCTGTCAAAGTGCAGCGGGAACAGAAAAGATACTCGAGACTGCCCCGAACACGTGCAAATCAATCGATCAAGTTTAGTACAGTGTTACAGCGAACCACAATCAAGGAGAGACCCTCACTTCCTGCTTGATTCACCTACATATGCTGCTCATCCTGGCCTTGGCGTTCGCCGGATCTAACTGCAGGGCGCGCTTTGCGTCCAGCTCCGCCACTTCCCAACCTCGATCTCGGGGCTGCCGAAGGCTGCGGAAAGCCAACAGCGGTTTACCGGGCTGTTCTCAGCTGCGGGCAGCCCTGCTGGATATAGGCATTGGAGCGGTTTAGCCAGTAGGAGCACTCCTTGGCAAAGGCCGGGATCATCTGGCCGAGTCGAGCACTCATGCGGAAGATCTGAAGCTGCAACTGATCAAAATTCACCTCGCGGCCAGTGCATTACCGCGTGTCCTCGGGGTCCACTGCAATGGCGCGGGTGTACGCCTGGAAAATGCAAAGGATGTGCTCATTCGCGATGTCAAGCTTGTCGTGCTGCATGCCTCTACCGCGAGCTCAAACTCCTGCCGCTTGAAGTGGTCGTTGCCTGTATGGAACGCCACAACCCAAGTCTTCAACGACGAGCTTTACGTTGCCTGTCTTGGTTTCGTGCAAGTGCCGAGCACAGCAGAACATAATCCGACCGAGACACCACGCTTTTTGAATTCCTCTGCTTCAGATGCCATGCGAAACAAAGGGCAGACAAAGGGCTACAAAGCAGGCGGTTCCATTGTGCGGTGCTGAGGCTGGATTCCTTGAAAGCGCGTCCAAGGTAGCTTCGTCAACCGGTGTCTCGTTTGAATGTATAGGACTCTACAATGACTCTACAGATTCTCCGACTCTGTCGTTGGCTACTCGCTTGCCGTGCTCACGTGTGCTGCAGATGGGGGCCAAAAGCGAGGAAAGTGCAGCGTCGCGAGAAAGGCGCTAGGCCCAGCCAGAAATTTACCAACCTGGGGATGCTGCTGCTTCATCTACCAAACTTATTGGCCGAATGAGGCGGTGTTGGTATGTTGCTACACAGAATGTAGCCTGGCTCTAGCCTTCGGGAGCGCAGACGACTCCAAGAGTGGTCAGCACAAAGCGTTGTTCTATGCTATTCTGCTTTATGGGCTGCGCAAGAAGCAAGTTCGCGCCAGAACCCTCTCCAGCATGCCTCAACCCATATCTTGGGAGCAGACGAGGGGGGGAGGTGAAGCTTCACCTTGCAGGTGAAAGGCGAAAGGCTGCATTCCATCAAGAGAACAGGACGCCGAGTCGCGTGGGGCTCGCTCAGAATCTCCCGAGCTGGGCTGGAACCTCGGAGGGCATTGAGCCGAAGGCGGCCAAATGCGAGTCACACAGACCTTCCGCAGAGGAACATGAAAGTAGCCCTCTCTAGTACAGGTCCAGTCCAGAGACCCCTACCTCTGCCCTAACCGTTTTGGGATACGCCCCTATACGTCAATCTTTCCCTGCACCTATACATGCACCTATCATATCACATCATATCACTGTCCCCTATCCGTAACTGGGTAGAACCCTATCAATAGACATTGTCTGTAACTCGGAGAGGTCCCTACCCATAGGCCCATATAGCGCCTTGTGATCGCCCCATCCCCAAAGGTCCCTATCCTCAAAAGGTTCGTATATGGGGTCCCATTAGAAAGCCTCTTATAAGCTTTCGACTAGCTAGAAGCATGGGACAAGCCCCTTTAGGTTCCTGTACAAGGTCCTCTTGCGAAAAAAACACAATTCTGAACCGCTGTCCCGCCCCCTCCTTTGGCGAGTGCGATTCAACACATATCTTTGAACACGCACCCTCATGAAGCGAACCCGGTTGATCGCATCTGTTACGCTCGCCCCTGACTTGGCGATCGAAGTATCTTAAACTTGCCCCCTGCTTTGGTGATCCCGACTCATCACGGATTTTGAACACGCCGCCTGTGAAAACCCAGAATCCTAAACTCCTTTGGCAATCCTGGCTCAACACATATCTTAAGCCTTAAGCCTTAAGCACCCCCTCATCAGGCGATCCCGGTTATTCACGTATCTTATACTCGCCCCGTCCTTCGGCCATCCTGATTCATCACACAATTCATCACATATTTTAAACACCCCCTCTCATTAAGCGCCCTGGTTGATCACATCTGTTAAACCCGCCCCCTCATTTGGCCATCCAGGTTAATGACATGTCTTGAACTCGCACCCGCTTTTGCCGATCCCGATTTCACATATCTTAAGCACGCCCCCGGTTGATCACATTTTTTGCATTCCTTCTTTATTTGGCGATCCAGATGAATTACATCTATTAATTTAAAAGCCGCCCTCTCGTTTGCCGATTCAGGTTCATCACATATTTTAAACTCGCCCCGTCTCTCGGCGATTCCGATTCACCACATATCTTAAACACGGCCTCTCATCAGCTGATTCGGGTTGATCACATTTCTTAATCCGGCCCCCTCATCAGGCGATCGCCATTCATCATATTCGTCACATATCTTAATCTCGCCCCCTCCTTTGGCGATCCCGACTGATCACGTATCTTCAACACGCCTCGTGATATGGCGATCCCGGTTCATCAAATATCCAAAGCACGCCTCCTCATGAGGCGATCCCGATTTAGGTTAGAACTCTTGATTGAACCCGCCCCCACATGTGGCGATCCAGGTTGCACATGTCATACGGCGCCGGTCCGAAAGACAGCATCTGGAACCCTCTCTTTCTTCATTGCAGCGATTCTCACTTGCACCGCTGTTGAACTGGGTCGCAGCATCTTCGACAGCAGAAAATCTGCTGCTGTGTGCACCGGCTGCCGTTGCTCCAACGTGGACTCCGTCTTATACCTTGGAGTCTTGGCAGCAGTCGGCAAGGACTGCTTTTGCGCGGCTCACCAACACTCGTACCAGCTTCGGCCACCGTCAGCTTGTAACACAAGCCATCATCCGATTCCATGCCCAGAAACTCATACAGGGTTCCTCGATTCTCGAAGCATCCAGAGCATTTGAAACACCGACAAGTTGATCTCCACTGCATGCTCGGCTGAAGTACAGGCTGAGCAGGACATCGGAAACGCACAACAGCTCCCCGCAACGTCCGTCAAATCCGCCGCCTTTCTCTTCCTTCTGGACGCCATCCCTTCTGGGCTCGAGCCGAGCCGCGGCCAATCGATGAAGCAAGACACCAAAACTGTATCATGATATGTACGAGGACGCTTGATTCTGTTCACAGTTTTTTTGCACATGGCATGGTAAGACCTCCCTGTGGTCCAAGATCCCTTTCCGCCCTAGACTCCGCCAAAGTCCTCCACCCCGAACAACTATAGTACCATTGTTTCACGGCGGGATGATAATTCCCCAGCTACCCAGGCTAGGGTATACCTCACTCCCTGTAGGCTGCGTGCTCCGTTTAGTGTCTCTAGCGGATGCAACGAAACTCTATTGCCGGGCATGTAATCATCACATATCTTAACCTCACCCACCTTTGACGATCCCGATTCATCACATATCGTAAACACGGTCTCTCATTGGGCAATGCCGGTTAATCACATGTCGTAAACCCCCCCTCTCATTAGGCCCTAGGCGGTCCCGGTTGAGCGCGTTGGCGATTCCGATTCATCACGTATCTTGCTAAAACACACCCTTTCTTAAACCCGCCTCCTCCATAGGCGATCCCGATTGACCACATGTCTGAACCTCGCCCTCCCGTTTGGCGATCCCGATGCTATCTGGCAACATCGAGCTTTGTACTGCGGAAGTAGACAGAACTGAAATGCAGTGTTAAAGCACCTCCAGCTCTCCACTCAGTCTACTCGTGAAACTTGCAGCAAGAACAGTAAAATACCTTGGAAGCTCACGGCTTCCGCTTTGGGAATTTCAGCTCCATGTCTTCGGGCTTGCAAGATCTATTAGCTCTGTCGGCTTTAGCGTTTGTGCTTCTGAGTGTCTTGGTTTTTTTGCATTACAAAATCTCTAGACGCCGGGGTCCGTCGGGGTAGGCTTCCACAGCGAAGCCGATAGGGTCCTGCCCTGCAACGGCGGCAAGTCATACGCACAGAGGCCTGTTCCTGTCATGGAGCCCTATTCCCCGCAGCACCTTGTCCCTATCCGCGTAGCCATAGATCCCTATACCTGTTCTTATTTGTCATGGTCCCCATTCCCCTAGAGCACCCTGCCTACCTCCCCATAGGTAGGTCTTTCCGTACCACTACAGACGCATGCACATAGAACCTATCCGACTCTATGACCCCCGTCCGCACGGGCCTACGGACACGGAGACACAGGCCAGGGTCTACCCCAGAGCCGTAAGGGGTCTTCTATTTTGTAGCCGCCTACCCTAGACCATATACACAGCTACTTTTCCAAACCCTACTCGACCCTCCACGTGCTGATGCTACATTGCAGATTCTCTTCGGGTGCCCGGGCGGCGATTGAAACTCGCGACGCGAAGCATTGCTGAATGCTGGAGCCAAACCAGAGACCTGCCATGCTGGGAACAAGGCCGACTTCGATGCATCATCTTGTTGTCACCACTTACTTGAATTCCATCAACACATTGCCAGCTGATAGCTTTTGATACCAATCCGCAGTGTTCGAGCCGCTCGCGGAACCTCCTCGACAGCCGGTTGCTCCCAACGGCGGTCGTAGGCACTGCCTGGAGAAATGCTCACACCATGTTCACATCATTGGTGCAGCTCTTGCCGAGACGGAGCTACCGCTGGAGCGGGCTGAAGCGCAGGTTTGAGCCTGGCAGCCCCTGGCTTCTATTGACGGTTTCAGTGCAGGTTTCGGCACTGGAAGTAAAGACGGGCAATCAAAAGCAAGCGGCCGACGACTCGATGGAAATCGGAGTGGATTTGGAAGTACGAGTAGGTCGGTATTGTAGCAGATGTGTTAACGATAACTGTCTTACCGTTTTTGTGAAAACATGCGAGAACCTCTCCGAGGCTTGCGGGGCTCGAAGGCTTGAGAGCGTTGCTTAAACGCAGTTCGAGGCTTTGAATGGATGCTTTGATTGGAGTGTTCAGATGTGGCATGTATTCCGGACTGGGGGCTGCTGGAAGAAGCGCGAATCACACTTCCGGGATCGAACAGGAAGAACGGAAGACTTTGAGCTTGTGTTCTCGACCAAATACATATCAAACCTCAGCTGACAAAGCTGGCGGGTGCAATGTGAAACAGCACCTTTAACGGTGTGGATCAAAAGCCCAGCTTGCTGTCCTCTTTTGGACGTCGCAGAGCGGTTTGCATTCAAGGGACAATCGCGGACAGAAGAACAACTCACCGGTTATAAGAAAGCGAAAACGAAGACTGTCATCCGAGGACCTAAACATGCCTGGAATATCCTGGCATTGCACAGAGATCCGACTTTATAGGTCTGGGACCGACAGATCGTTACGGGTGGCATTCGGTGACAACAGAAGCCCACCCTTTTGAACGGCCTGAATGCTTCTCCGGATGCTCGACATCCTCTCGCCTGCACTGCGAGACTCAAGCAGCCATGGCGACGGCCAGCAGCCGCTCCCTTCGAGGCGCGAGCTCGAAGGCCGCTTGCGTCCGCGACTGCGCAAAATGCCACGCAGCGAAGGCCAAGAAAGCTCCCCCGCTGACGACTCTCTGACGAAGCCGCACCTGGATCTGTGCGTCGTTCTCCCATGCAACCTCCACATCTCTGCACATGGCACACGCAATTTGCACTTTGCAATGCCATGCGCATCTCTAGGGCAACTCGTCTCTTGGCAATGGCAGTCCATCCAACAAAAACTACAGTCGGCTTGCCCTGTGATCTAGCCTGTGGTGCAACACCTGAATGCTACACACCCAATCTTGCCCCAGCAGTCACCTCCAATGGCGGCCCGAAAACCTGAAGCATGCGGACAAACTGCGCTGCACTTGGGGTCTGTGTGCGGCCTGGCATGCCATGAGCTGCTCGATCCGCTGCCGGTGCTCACACAAGCGCCTCCGGGACTCCAAAGAGTTCCGCAGCAGCTCCCACGAGCGCTCGAAAAGCGTGCGAGTGCGTAAGGCCGGAGCCAGGCGCGCTCGCGAGGCAATACGATGATAAGGTCATCCACAGCCTAAGCTAATCTTGCTCAAACACGGCATACCTACCATTCCATGTGGAAACCTCCAGCCAACAAATGCATACATACGATCCACCGGGCTCCGGTCGCAATCCCCACCGACTTTTCTCGTGCGAAGACCCGTCCTTGGCGAAAACTGCAGTTCAGGCAAGCCATCAAGGCATTCTCTCTAACCCGCATCATAAGTGACTGACAGCTGCACGGCCACGCCAACACTGGCATGGTCGCACTTCAGCCAAAGCCTGCAAGCGGGCACTTCGATGGCTTTCAGGATTAATTAATGCTTGGTGGTGAGCACTCTCTGACTGGGTTTCGGCTTGGACGTCCAAGGGTTTTGAAATTCAGCGATTTCATGTCCCTGTAGTTCCAGTACTATGGCAAAGGGTGAGCGTCCATGACCACTTTCTTGACAGGCGGAGGGATACTGGGATAACTGCCACAAAGCAGCAGCCCCCTGCTTGCAAAACCTCTGAATCGCCATAGCAGGACTAGCCGGGGTGCTTCACGTCAGGCAGGAACAGAAAACGATAGAAAGCGTTCCGGCTGTTCGTTATGCTCTTGATGTGGGCATGTGGGGATCCACACATCCCGGAGCTTTCGATATACCCTATGTATTAATTAATATATATATATATATCACAGTAAGATGCAGCCGTGTTGCCGGTTGCGCTCTAGCCCCGTGGCTACTGAAAGATTCCTCAGAATTTTCAACTGACGAGAGCTCACAGCCAAACATCTAGCGAGTCACCTGGTGTTGAGGCAGGGACGACGCTGGACGTCGGCGAATTTGTTGCAGGATATACTGGTAGTCTAGATTGATGCCAAATCAAGCGAAAGCGAAATGCAGACATGGTGTGCCAGCATCACGCTGCAAAAACATACACATCCACCGCATTCCAGTCAAGCGTTCCAGTCAAGCATCGTAATCCTTCCGAATGCAGTCCCGGCAACAAAGAACCTGGAGTCACAGCAACACATCTTTTCATTCACAAGGATGCAAGCAAGTCTGCTTCGTCAGCATGGGGCCACGACTGACCAACGACGAGGCGCCCCATCCGCACGAGGGCAGTCCTCGACGAGTCAGACTGGACGACTGCAGTGCAAGGAATGCTGCTCGGTTCGCCAAGGCTCAGCACCATCTCGCCTTGCTCCTCACCGGCCTTGGAGACCTGGCAAATCCTTAAACCTATCGAGAGCTAAGCAGAACAGTTGCTTGTCTAGACAGATCGTGGTCACGGTAGTGATGGACATGCATCTCACGATGGTTGCTTGTGACGCAGGCTTTCACAGGATGTTCGCCCAGATCCTACATCTGGAAAGCCTCACCGTCTTCGACCTCTTTCTCTGACTGATCTCCCCACATGTCCCAGCATGGTCCCCTATAAATGTGCTGTTTACAATTATCTTACACCGCATTTGTTGGGCATCTGCTGATTGCAGTTGTTTGTTGTATTGATGCGTGCAGTTACCCGTTGCGGTTGTTTTTTCATGCGTGCTGCTTGTGGTCTTTGTCATGTCTTGGTTGTGTCTTTGTCTTGGCTAGTCTTCCTGGTTTGGTAGCTGCGAATCATCCGGATGTATATGCATCCAGAGGAGAGTACGCCTCACCTCCAGCTTGAGGTGCATTAGTTTTTTCAACTGAAGAGACGCCCAGATCTCGGCCTTCAGCCGCGGCCCTCATGCCTGAGTCCTACCTGACGCATCCCTTAGCTCCCTGTGTCCCCGGCACGGACCCCTCTGCCGCCTCTTCTGAGCAACTCTCTACATACTCTAAATCCCAATACAACCGAAAGGAGCAAAAACACGATGCCAAACACCGCAAACGCTAGCAGTCGTTTCGGGGGACGCAGGCCGGCCGCCTCCGCCCATCCGCCCAAACCCACCAGACCGAGAAGAGGATCGCATGCGGTCTGCTCTAAACCGGACAGAAGCAAAACGAATCCTGTCCGAGTTTCATCTGCAAGAATGCAACTGAAACAACATCCAAAAACAAAGCCAAGAAACAAGCAAACCAAATGACAGACACACTGCATGCCACAAAACAAAAACGCAACAAAAGACAAGCAAAGTGCAACCCAACTAAAAGCATAAAACAAAGACCAGGAAAGCAAATCAAGTTGCCACACATAATTCTGAAATATTCTGCGCGCCTACCCAGTCTTTGGCCCGGAAGTTCTTACAATTCACCCTCATCCACACGCATACAATGTTGGGCTTCAAAAGCCTCCAAGATCAATGCCACTGCAGTAGGCGCTGCATCAACCCCGACCAGGAAGTCTGTTCGCCGCGGCCTGGAACAGCGTCTATGAGGACAAATTTGACAACTCTGCAACATTCCCCAAACCGAGCAAAAAGCAAAGGCTTCGATGTCCCAACTTGAAGTTCCAGATGCGAGCCTAAACTCGGAGCAACAACCATAAAACCAACAAAACCCAGCAGAAAGCACGCTTGTGTTGAATCAGTCAGCTGGGTTCCGTGCACATGCCTGCAATTCTGCGCCTGCATATCACGTGCCCTGATTTGCTCTGACGACAAAATTCCCCGCCCCTGCAGAACTAGCCGCGGGATGCGATGCCAAACTGCTGACAGGAGACTGCATATGCCGCTTGATCTGAGCCCATAGCACAGGGTCTTTTCAATGTTCTGGCAAACACTGCGAAGGAAGGAGCACAGACATGATTAGACGAGCTTCATGCGCTCCAGTTTTCCAGTTTCGCACTTTCGCAAAGTTGCCGATCAGCAAGGATCGCTATACCGCTATGCACTCTGCTTAGCAGAGTTTGGCCCGACCTGGCCCACTGCGAAACAGGCTGGTGAGGCCCTGCCGTGAGGACAGCACAGTTACGAACACGAACATGGTTCCGGCTTGCTGCAGGTCAGCGTACGTCAGCGTGTCAACTGCACGGTGCCTCATAGGTCAGCCTCGCCTCAGACCACGGCCATCTAGTCTAGTTGAGCAGGTCCCAGGCAAAACCTCTGAGACTCTGCCAGCATGTGCTGCATCCCTAGCACAAAGCTGGGAGTCGAAGCCAGAGTCTTCACGACCCTGCTTAATGCCTTTACAGGCTGGTCAGCGTCACCCATGCCCACATTGGTCCGGCATCAATCAATGGCCCCTCCTTAGAAGTGCTCGGCATGATTTTATTTTAGTGCGTTGCGGGTCCCTCTCCGAAACATCCCGCTGCTGCGCTTCCAAGATTCTGGGAAGGCGCATTCGGCCGGGCGCCCAGTCGCATGATTTGCTGGTTGCCAAACCTTTCGCGGCTGCAGCAACCTCCTATCCTCCCTGCAGGAATGGATCCACGAGAAGGGCAGGCCCAAAGCAGCCAGGACACTTGAACGTTTCTTCCCGGTGGAGGACAAACGGGTCCCGTGCGCTGACGAACGACTTCACCGGCCCGAAACGTTTCCTAACAAGGGAAGCAAGAAGGAATGAACAGTCAACTTGTTCCAGTGGACTGACGGGCAGTTGGCTGAAGATTCTATGCGTAGTGCCTCATGGACAAGAAGCCCATCACATCGACATTGCTTTGGAGCCCTGCAATCCGACAATGAACATTCCTAGATACTCTTGAAGTCGTCCATGGCTCGGCTTGTGGTCCACAAAGCTCGCTTTGGCCTCTGTCAGCCAAAGCTTGAGGGATAGTCCCAATCTCGGCGATGTTTTATCCGGCGGATGTTGCAAGTCAGCAGGATTCTCTCGGCGGAATCGCAGCAGGAGTCGTAGTAGTAGTAGCAGTAG